AAACAAAAAATTTAAAAAAAAAAAGAGATGATTTCCAATAAAATTTTACTTCTAAGGTATATCAAAATTTAGAATATATTTATATTATTTTGATAATTGTCTACTCATAATAGTTTTAATAAAACTCAATCCAGAAGAAAAAATAAATTAAAAAAATAAAATGAATTTTTAAAATAAGTTTTTACATTCCATAAACAAATAGCTAATTATAACACACGTATTACATGCATTTATATATATGTTTATATATACACACATTAGATGTTTAGAAATGCATCACAGATTTCCTCTAAAACACTATGTTATGTGCCTTCCTATCTTAATAAACTTTTAGATATATTAAATCAGTATTATAATATCAATACATTATAATAGAGATATATTTGCATAATTAGGTTGCCTTCCAAATTCTTCCAATTTCAATGTCTGATTGAAACTGCCATTCTTTTATGCATTTTTTTGTAAATGGATTTTTTGTCATGATTGACTGTTTTAAAGCAGGCGATTTTTAAAGCCTTTTCCAATAATGCATATAATGCATATGTTCAATTTTATTACTTCGTCTTCAGGAATGTGTACGTTTCTGAAAAATAAACCATTCCATGTTCTTTTTAGTCTTGGAATCAAGAAGAGTACCTTGCCTATTTTTTTTTTCAAATAAAGAATTTTTAATAGTGAAGGCCAAATTGTTTTAGAATATTTTACATTCAGGATTTATCTAATTGCCACCTCATGATTAGATTTACATTAAACAATTTTGTCTGATCTGATACTTAGGTAGGGTTATGTACTTCTTAATTTATCATATCAGGAGGTAAAGACAAGTTTTCTCATTACATGATGGTAATTTTGATCAAGTAGTTATGGAGATGACTGCCAGATCTTTCCATTGGAAAGGTATATTTTCCCCCTTATAACTACTGGATGATCTGTGCACTGATGCTTGGAAACTGTATAACTGTCCTCCAGAAATCTTTTACCCAAAAGGCTTGACATTCATTGGTTCTTATTCAAAGCAATTATTAAATTGAGCCTAGAAAATGGTGAGATTCTAATGATCACCTTTTTCTGCATTTATTAGTTGGCCTTGCTTTTGTTAAGAAGAGCTTTTGCTCTCTACTTTTGTTGAGAAACATTACAGATTCATTGATTCTTTTTAAATTAAATATCTTATAATCCATTGTAATCATTTTTCTGTTTGATGATTAAATTGTCTCAAATTTGGCCATTGGGAGCCTCATTCAGCTAGCTTCTGCATCCTTTTTCCAGGTCTACATGAGTCTTTAATGACCTTCTTTTTTCTGGCACAAAAATATGTTCAGGTTCATCTTGTATTTTCCCTGCCCCACTCTTGGAATTAGCCAACTCATTAAGAAGCCTTAGTTTCTTTTAATAAGGAATGGTGTTCATCAACCAATATCTGAGTGTTCACTGTCCTCATTACTACTGGTCTGTCATTGCTTCTGTTCCCATTCAGTGGAAAGAGACAGGAAACATATTTTTATCATTCAATCATACCAATAACTCTAAATTCAAATGCAAAAGACAAGATTCTGTCTTACTTTTATGCATTTCAATTTTGTAACTTTCCCTTTAACAGTGAAAAAACTCTATTTCCCACAAAATAAGTATATTTACTCAAGTCTTTTGTCCTAAATGCCACAGAATAGATGCAGAATTAGAATACCAACACAACTACTGACAAAAAACCTACTAAGACAAGTTCAAGATTTCTTACAGTTTTGTTTTGTTTTCCTTTTTTTGTTTATTTGTTTTTTGCTTAGAATGTGTTACACTAAGGATTTCCAGTCAGAGTATAGTTTGAAAAGTTGTTAGATTAATTCTTTTCTCTGCATTTTCAACCTCATATACAGTTTATTTTAATTGTTGCGTTTAGATGTTTTTAGTTTATATTTGGAATATATAAAACATTTACATAATTCAAAAGTCAAAACTATATAAAAGCTATACTTAGAAAAGTCATGTGTGCATCCCTATCTGCTTAATCCATTGCCACCCCCACTCTAGGTATCCTTTTTTTTTTTTTTTTTTTTGGTTAGTCTGATTTATCCTTTCTGTATTTATTTTTTCAGAAATAAGGTGTGTTCACATTTATATTCTCAATTCTCCTTCGCTCTTTTACGTGGGATATTATTCTCTCTGCACTCTGTTTTACTGTCTTTGTTTTCTTTTTATTATGATTATTAACAAGATGTTGTGGAAATCATTGCATATAGATACAGTGACAAAAATTGAAAAGGTATATAATATTGACTTTTCTTTCTTGGTGTTCTATGTGTTGACTTTTGCCATAATCCATTGATTATTAGAATAATTCCAACAATTAGTAGAATTTCCATGTAGACAATCACAAAACTTGAAAATATTTTCAGTTTTGTTTCTTGCTTTCCTATGCTTGTAACTTTAGTGCTTTGTTCTAGTGCTACTGCAGTGGCTACACCATCCAGGAAATGTTTAAGAGTAGTGTTACTGTGTATTTTCATCTTTTTTCATGATTTTTATGGGCATGATTTTTTTCTTCTTTTTTTTAATTTTAAATTTTGGAATAATTTTATATTTACAGAAATAGTATAGAGAGTTCCCATATAGCCCTCACCCAATATCAATTCCCCCTACCTTATTGTGGTATATTTGTCAAAACTAAGAACTCAAGATTGGTATATTACTATTAACTAAACTGCAGAATGTATTCAGATTTCATGGTTTTCCACTAATGTCCTTTTTCTGTTAGAAGATCTAATCCAGGTTACCACATTGTATTTAGTTTTTTGTTTGTTTGTTTAAGAAATATCAAACTGCTCAGCTTTGTTATCTTTTTTTAGGAAGATTGGCCCTGAGCTAATATCTGTTGCCAATCTTCCTCCTTTTATTCTTTTTTCTCCCCAAAGCCCCAGTAGATAGTTGTATGTCATAGTTGTACATCCTTCTAGTTGCTCTATGTGGATGCTGCCTCAGCATGGCTTGATGAACCCTGGGCCACCGAATTTAACCACCACGGCACCAGGCCAGCCCCTGTATTTAGTTTTATTTAGACAATTTAGTTTGTATTTAGATCGTGTCTCTTGGTCTGTGACAGTTTCTTGGTTTTCCCTTGTTTATGTCCTTGACAGTTTTGAGGAATACTGGTCAAGTGTTTTGTAGAATATCTCTCAATTTGTATTTGTCTGATGTTTTTCTGATGACTAGACTGGATTTTGGGGTTTTGGGAAAGAATACCACAAAGGTGAATTTGGGCTTGATTTTAAATTTTCATTGTTATGTGTATTTTTGCTGTATTTTTATGAGGATACACTTTATTAGTGTAAGGAAATTCTGTTTTATTCATAGTATTTATGATTGGATGCTGAATTTTGTTTAGTTATTTTTTCTTCTGGGATCATGGTTTTTTTTTTTCCTTTAATATAGTGACTTACATTAATAAATATAAATAAAAATATGTTTTAATTTTATATTAGAATGAATTCAATTGGCCATGATGTAATTTTTTATTAAATTACTAGATCCAATTTGGTAATATTTTGTTTAGAATCTGTACATCTATATTCATTAATTAGATTGAATCATAATTTTTCTTTCTAATACTGTCCCTGTCGCATTTTGTACCAGCCTCATCAGATGAATTGAGACTATTCTCTTTTGTTCCTCTTTTTATTTTTTTTCAATATTTTGGGGGGGAATATACATAAAGACGTGATTATAAAATGTATTTTACATTTCAAGTAATAAGAACACTCACATAACTACCATGCCACATTTTTCAATAGTATGTAATGTACAATCATATCTTGTATTTTAGCAGCATTAGAATTACTTTTTATCTCTGCTTAGAACAACCCAATACCTAACAAGGTTCATCTATTTAATTTTGTTTTTGATATTTTTGTATTTATTACTTAATTTTGTTTTATAATTTTCTAAAATATTTACAAAGTTCCAATGTCAGATCTACAAAACAGCATATACTCACAGAAGTCTAGCTTCCATTCTTGTCCCGTCCCACTGTTTTCATTCCCTCCAACAGAGGAGATCTTTTATAAACTTTATGGTTTATCCTTCCATTGTTTTGTTTAATGTGAGCACATAATGTATATATCTTCATACACTCCCTTTCTATATAAATGGTAGCATACACTAGATACAGTTTACTCCACCTTGCTCTTTTACTTAAAAAAAATATCATGGTGATTATACCGTAGAAACATATAGATGCTTCTCATTTCTTTATATAGTTGCATAGAACTCTGTTGTGTGCATATACTGTAATGAATTCAAGTAGTACCACGTTGGTGGCTATTTGGATTGATTCTAGTCATTTGTTCTTACAAATAGTTTTGTGGTGGATACTTCTGCATAAATCTTTTCAGATTCTTCCCAGAAAGTATATGTTTGGGTTCCGAGAACTAGGACTGCTGGGTCAAAGGATAAATGCTTATATAATTTTGCTAGAAACTGGCAGATATCCCTCTATAGTGGTTGTATCATTTTTATTTGCTACACTGAATGTGTGAGAGAGACTTATTTACCTATAGCCTTCCAACAGACTGTGTTATCAAACTTTTAGTTTTTTGCCAAAGTACATTTTGAATTTGTTCCAGAATTTGAGAATCACTGATTTAAACTTTTCCTAATTGCTTTCCTCCTTTCCTTTCTATATCACTTTTCAATTTCTATACTTTCTTTATCTCTCAAATTGCACCACCATATCAGAACTATATATTCTATTCACATTTATAGACATTTATGTCAGTGTAATTCTCCCTTTTATCTTCTAAGTTTTGTGACTTCCAAGGAAAAAAAGTCAATGTTTTTGTTTGTGTTTTCTTTCAGAATATAAATCTAGGTGTGAGAACAAGAAATTGTCTCTGAAAAAGGATAATTATGAAATAGATTCATCCCAATGTGTTAAAATGGAAGGATTTACAAAGCATGAACTTAAACAGGGATCTCAGGGAAGACATTTGAGCCAAGTGTCATCTACCTCTGAAGCCACGTCCACTTTCATTCAGCACACATCTCTTTCTCTCCATCAAACATCTAATACTGAAGAGAAATCTTATGAATGCAAAAAATACAAAAATGCCTGTGGAGAAGACTCACCACTTACTACAAATCAAGAAAGTCATACTGGCAAGAAATTCTATGACTATAAGGAATATGAGAAGGCCCTTAGTAGAACTTCAAAACTTAGTTCATCTCATATAGTGCATATTGGTATGAGAACCTATGAGTGTGAAGAATGTAGGACATCTTTGAATAATGGCTCAGACTTTATACAACATCAGATAATTTTTACTAGGGAAAAATCTAGTGAATTTAAGGAAAGTGGAAAGGCCTTTACTAATGCCTCACATTTTTTTCTACATCATAGCATTTATACAAGTGAAAAATCCTTTAAATGTAAGGATTGTGTTAGAGAATTTAATAATGGTACAGCCCTTATTCGTCATCAGAGAATTCATACTGGGGAAAAACCCTATGCGTGTAATGAATGTGGAAAGGCCTTTAGTACTAGTTCAATATTTAGAGTACATCAAAGGATTCACACAGGTGAGAAACCCAATGAATGTAAAGAATGTGGAAAAGCCTTTCGTCATTCCTCATACCTTACTCAACATCAAAGAATTCATACTGGTGAGAAACCTTATAAATGTAAGTATTGTGTTAGGGCATTTAGTAATGTTTCAGCCTTCATTCGGCATCAGAGGATTCATACTGGTGAGAAGCCCTACAAATGTAAGGAATGTGAAAGAGCCTTTAGTACTGCCTCAATACTTACAGCACATCAGAGAATTCACTCAGGTGAGAAACCCTATGTATGTCACAAATGTGGGAAGGCCTTTCGTCAATCTTCAGACCTTAATCAACATCAGAGAATTCATACTGGTGAGAAACCCTATAAATGTAAGGAATGTGGAAGGGCATTTCGTCGTTCATCAGAACTTTCTCGACATAAATTAATTCATGCTGGTAAGAAATTGTATGAATGTAAGGAATGTGGAAAGATCTTGAGTAGAGATTCAATACTTATACAACATCAGAAAATTCATACTGGTGAGAAAGCCTGGGAATGTAATGAATGTGGGAAAGTTTTTACTTGTGCAACATACCTGACACGGCATCAGCGAGTTCATACTGGTGATAAACCATACACTTGTAACAAATGTGGGAAAGCCTTTCTTCGTTCTTCAGACCTTACTCTACATCAAAGAATTCATACCGGTGAGAAACCCTATGAATGTAAGGAATGTGGGAAGGCTTTTGCAAGAGGTTCAAATCTTAATCGCCATCAAAAAGTTCATAATGGTAAGAAATAGGATGAAAGGATGCTTTGTAAGACTTTTAAGCATGTCTTTTAGGTAACATAACATGAGAGATAAACCCTAGAAACAGAATTAATATGAGAAATCCTAAGAAATACATTGGTGAGAAGAATGAATATATAATTAATATGAGAATGCCTTATGTGTTTCACAGTTTGACTGCCATAAGAAGAAAGTGAATATTGGAAGGCCTTTATCAACAGTTCATTTTTTTCCAAATTTCAAAAACTTTCTAATCATGAGTGTAGAAAGTGAAAAATCTTTGTTGTCCCATTTTGATTATTTAAAAATACTTTAAATCCACTTTATTTTTTATTTAGCTATAGTTAGTTTGGTTTATGCATAGCTAAAATACTGTATTATTGTAGGTTGTGCATTAAAATTGTAAATTTATTTTGTTCTCATCGAAATTCTTATTACAGCACCACTTATTCAGTAACTATTGCCTAATGCTTTTTATGCACAGTTTAGTGACATTTTATATTCTTAGTGTTATAGTCTTGGATTTAATGACAGTCCTTTTATACCCCAACATCCAATTTGGAGAATCTTCAATTGATCTTTTTAAAATAAGTTTCTACCTATATATCTTTGCATCTGTACCATTTTATTTAAAATGTTGCTTTAAGATATATATTTTAATGTTGATACAACTGTATCTTTATTTGTATATATAAATTATATTTTCTTTTTATAAAATTGATATTTTGTTGTAGTAATTTTCTCTGAATTTTTAAAGAACTACAAAGAAGCCAACAAAGTTACCTTTAATCCTCCCAAGGGGATATAACTCTTGTCAAATTGTTGGAACAAATCCTTTCATAAACTTTTTTAAAGAAAATGTAATCATATTATTCAAATAGTTTCACAAATTGCCTTTCTAATGACAAAATACATCACACATAACATTCCATGTAAGTGTATTAATAGTGTTACTATATGTGACTGTACCATTATTTTTACCAAACATCTGTGATCAAATAGTGTGATTGACTCCACTTTTTGTGATTATAAAGAATGCCACATTTAGCATCCTACTTGACACAGTATATTTGCTTATCTGGTTTTCATTACTGAAATAATCCATGCATACCTTTTAACATGTACAGATTTTTAAACATGACAGATTGAGCTGACGTCCCTTTTGACCATGCTGTGCTAGCCATTTTTCTCCTCCCATATTACTTCTTGTTGCAGAGTTTTCCTAATGATTTTGCATAAATATAAGTATTTGTGGGAACATTTAATTTTTTAAAAAATTATTCATTTCCATTTCAATGTATTCATATTCAAAAATTTGTTAATATATATTATTATACTTTATGTGATATGGACATGGCTATATTCACTAGAATACTTGGGTCTTGTAAGGATAAAATGAGTTAATATATATAAATGGCTTATGATTGAGAATGTAACATACTCAGTAAATATAATCCATTGTCAAAATTATTTTTTCCTTTGGCTGACTTATTGTTTATGGAATGGATCTTAACTATGATGCATACTTGACTTAATATCAGAAATTGAATATTGAAGAAAAACCTTAAACCTAGTGAATATAGCAAAGTCATCATCATTCATTCCTTCTTGGTCATGAGATGATTCATCCTGAAGAAAAAAACTGTAAAAACAATGAATAATGCTTTCATTCAAATCTAACCCTTTATGCTGAATCCTAAAATTCCTATGAGCATGAAACACCGTCGAGAATATTATTACTCACATTATCTGGCTGATTAAACAATAATATTAGATTGTGGGAACATCTGACTCTTGATCCAATGCACATTTAAACCAACATTTGATTAAGGATGAAATAAAAACTTAAACTACAATTTCTTTGGACGCAAAGGATACAGAGTATTATACACAGCAAATCCTGTGGAAGGTGGGCAAAGTTACTCACAGGAGAACTTACAGCTCTAAATCAAGACATGTATTACAATATCAGAAAAAATGAAAATAAACTAAGCAAAGATTATATAGGCTATACATGTAACTATTTATTAATAATTTAAAAAAATAAAGAATACATGTATCAAAGCTATAAATCACCAGAATTGACTTTAGAAGATTTAGAACGATTAGTAGTGCAATGAAATTAAATTAGAGACAAATTTTTATTACCTGTTCAGAAAACTACATCCAGACCGTCTATAGAGGCAAAATTCTCCCAACATCAAGAACTATTGTATATCAAAAGATAGCAAGATTGACATCTAAGTCTATTACTTTCATAACTCTAATTTTAAACCTGAATTAGGAAGGTTATAAAATAAATTTCATTTTAGTTTCAATTATGAAGGTATGTGCAACATCCTAAATAAGATATATCTAACTTTTCTAACTCCCATGGTGTACTCAGATAAATTATTTTAAAGATAAAACTGTTATCCTTTGATATCTTACTTTTAAATTGCACAAAGTGACATCAAAGATATGACCTAGCTATCTGTGTTTAGGAAGTTTCTTTTTATCCTTGGTTTGTAAAGTTTACTTTTCAAATGCCAGGATTCACAGGTAGAATTCTCCCAAAAACATTCTCTGCGCTCCACTTTTTTCAATTGGCCTGACGATTTGCAGGGCCCTGTATCGTTCAGGCTCAGTAAGGAGATAGAAAATGTACCAGATATTTATTTTGTAGTTTACATGCAGTAAAATTTTCTTCTCTTTTTTGGATGTACAATTCGATGACTTCTTAAAAATGTATAGTTTTGAAAACACTACCACAATAATGTTACACAACAATTCCATTACCCACCAAAACTCCCTTATGCTGCTTCTTGGGAATCGCACCCTGCCCCCACTTATAAATAAGTGTCAACCACTGTCAACCACTGATCTTTTTTGTTCCAAGATTTTTACCTTTTTCAAAATGTTGTATAAATGGAATCATACAGTATGTAACCTTTTATAAATGGAATCATACAGTATGTAACCTTCTTTCTCTTAACAAAATGCCTTTGAAACTCTCAAGTTGTTGCATATATCAATAGTTAACTGCTTTTTATAGCTGAGTAATATTCCAATGCCTACATGCACCACAGTTCATTTATTCATTCACTCGTTGGAGGATATTTGGATAGTTTCCAGGTTGGGGGCATTATAAATCAAGCTGCTATAAAGTTAGTGTATAGGTTTTTGTCTGAACATAAGGTTTTATGTTAGTAGCATAAATATGAGGAGTGAGATTGCTTGGCCATATGGGAAACGTATGCTCAATTTTGTAAGAAATTGCCAGGTATTTTTCCAGAGGGCTGTTGTAGGCAGCCTCTAAGATGGCCCTCAAAGATCCCCCCTCCCACTATTCAAAATGCCCTTGGATCATCACCTCTTGAGTTTGAGCTGCATATAGTGATTTGCTTATAACAAAAGAAGGAGGCAAGAGTGAATGGGAAATCACTTCTGAGAGTTTACCATACAGCTCTGTCTTGAGTGCCCTCTCTTTCTCTTAGAGCCCTTGCTCTTGAGTAAACAAGCTTTCTTGCTGTAAGTAGCCCTGTGGAGAGGCCCATGTGGCATGCAACTGGTATTTTCAGCCAGTGGCCTGGGAGGATCTGAGGCCTGCCCAAAGCCATGTGAGTGAGTGTGGAAGTGGATCTTAGAAGCACTGAACACTGTTACCTCTAGTTCTCTGGGGTGCTTCTATCTTTGGCCTTGAATATTTTCCTTACATGTATGTGCTGAGCAGGTCTCTCTACAAATCTCTGGAGTTCTCTCTCTGCATTTTTCTTCTCTCTGGTACTCTGTCCTGTAAACTCTAGCCATTGTGATCTCTCCAGACTCTCAGCTCTGTCTCCTCAACTAAGGGAGTCCATCAGACGCTGCCTGGTTTTTCCTTCCTTCCTTGTAGTCTGTGAATTTTCTCAAGGCAGTAGATAGTGTAATCATAGAACTCCCGTCAGTTGTTTTCCATCTCTCAGGGATCACTGGCCTTCATCACCTGATGCCCAGTGTTTTGAAAACCATTGTTTCATATATTTTGGTACAGTTTTTGTTTTTTTGGTTCTTTCGGGTAGTACAGTATATCTAGTCCCTGTTTCTCCATCTTGGCCAGAACAGAAGTTTTCATCCAATGACTTCTTTTATATGTAATTTTTTTTCATTTTTTATTATGGTAAAATATGTATAACACAAAATTTGCCATTTTAACCGTTTTTAAGTATACAACTCAGTGACATTAATTACATTCGTAATGCTGTGAAGCCATCGCCACTAGCTATTTCCAAAACATTTTTATCACCCCAAACAGACTCTAACAAGGAAGCAATAATTCTCAATTCTGCCTACCCCCAAGCCTCTGGTAACCTCTAATCTACTTTCTGTCTATGAAATTGCCTATTATAGATATTTCATATAAGTGGAATCTTACAATGTTTGTCCTTTTGTGTCTGGCTTATTCCAATTAGCATCATGTTTTCAAGATCCATCCATGTTGTAGCTTGTATCAGAACTTCATTAATTTTTAAGGCTGAATAATAATCCATTGTATAAATATACCACATTTTGTTTATCCATTCATCTGTTGATGGATACTTGGGTTGTTTTCACCTTTTGGCTATTGTGAATAATGCTGCAATGAACGTTGGCATACAAGTATCTGTTTGTGTCCCTATTTTCGATTCTTTTGGTATATACCCAGGAATAGAATTGCTGTGTCATATGGTAATTCTATATTTACTTTTTTGAGGAACCACTGTACTGTTTTCACAGTGGCTTCACATTCCCACCAGCAATTTATGAGAGTTTCATTTCATCCTTGCCAACAATTGTTATTTTCCTGTTTTGCTTTTTAAATTATAGCCATTCTAGTGGCCTGAATTGGTATCTCATTGTAGTTTTGACTTGCGTTTCCCTAATTACTAATGATATGGAGCCAGTTTTCATGTGCTTATTTGCCATTTGTATATTTTATTTGGAGAAATGTCTTTTCAAGTTCTTTGCCTATTTTTAATTGGATTGTTTGCCCTTTTTTGTCAAGTTTTAGAAGTTCTTTATATATTCTGGATATAAACCTTTATTGGGTATATAATTTCCAAATATTTTCTCCAGTTCTGAAGGTTGTCTCTTCACTTTCTTAATATGGCCTTTGATGCATAAAATTTTGAAAAATTCGATCAAATCCAATTTACCTATTATTTCTTTTGCTGCTTATGCTTTTGTTGTCATATCTAAGAATCCATTGCCAAATCCAAGGTCATGACGAAACTTTTATGTTTTCTTTTGAGTTGTATGATTTTAGCTCATATATAGGTGATTGATCCTATTTTGAGTTTATTTTTGTATATGGTGTGAGGTAGGGATCCAACTTCATTCTTTTGCATTTGG